TAGCTTTTAGTTTTGGATCTGTTTTTAGTTGTTTTAATGCTACAGTTGATTGCTTCTGTTGTCCTCATTTGTACGTCGCTTTGGATAAAAGTGTCTGCTAAATGACTAAATAAAATAAAAAATAAAAAAATTTATTATTTGTATGCATTTGTCATATTGTGACTCTGGAGCACAAAACCAGTCATAAGGGTCCATTTTTGGAAATTGAGATGTATGCATCATATGAAAGCTGAATAAATACACTTTCCATTGATGTATGGTTTGTTATGATAGGACAATATTTGGCAGAGATACATCTATTTGAAAATCTGGAATCTGAGGGTGCAAAAAAATCTAAATATTGAGAAAATCATCTTTAAAGTTGTTCAAATGAAGTTCTTAGCAATGCATATTACTAATCAAACATTAAGTTTTGATATATTTACGGTAGAAAATTTACAAAATATCTTCATGGAACATGATCTTTACTTAATATCCTAATGATTTTTGAAGAGAAATAAAAGAGAAATGTATAATTGTGACCCATACAATGTATTGTTGGCTATTGCTACAAATATCCCCCAGCGACTTAACACTGCTTTTGTGCTCCAGGGACACATACACGCTTAAAGCCACTTATTCAAGGTACATTTGCATAAAAGAGAAATGTATAATTGTGACCCATACAATGTATTGTTGGCTATTGCTACAAATATCCCCCAGCGACTCAACACTGCTTTTGTGCTCCAGGGACACATACACGCTTAAAGCCACTTATTCAAGGTACATTTGATTAGTTCATGCATTCTCTGGATAATAAACCACAGAAATGCAGTTATAAAATACCATCGGGATGATGGGGTTAATTTAGTCTCTAGATCTTTCGCTTCCCGTCACTGGTTTATTTTCAGGCGTCGTCGTGTCTCTGGCCTCTGTCATTTATTCAGTGCTGTCAGCTCTCATCTCTGACCTACAGATGGGGCTTTTTAAGGAAAATGAAACTTCTACTTCCTGTTTGCAGTGTACTGCTTTCTGATTGGCTGGTTTTAGGGATGGGGCGGGCCCAGAGCCTTTCTCTGCACGTCCTTATATGGTCATGAGTTTGAGACTGCTGATTCTCACTCGAGATCACATGATCAGCTCACTCACTAACAACGTGTTTGAAATGCCTTTAAAAGACCCTCACACATATTTAGCTACAGTAACTACTATCAAAAATGAGACATTTTATAGTAAATGACCTTAATTACTATAGTAACTAAAAAAAAAAGTAGATATTTTATAGTAAATGAGACATTTTAATGCTACAAAAGAGTTATATTTCAAATAAATACTCATTTAAAGACCCTGACAACTATTTACCATGGTTTCCACCAAAATACCACATTAATTACTATCCAAAAGACAATTCACAACTCAATCTAAGCATTACATTACATACACATTATAGTTTGAATAAATCTGTCATGAATACAATTGTTTATCACAGCCACACATTTCAATTATTAAAAAAGGCTGATGTTAAATCTGTCATGTGTAATTTGAATGTTTGTATAAAACTTAAATTTTATGCAAGTTTAAATTTGATTAATATATTGGTTAAATAAACTATTTTGGGTTTTGAAATTTTGGCACAAAATATCAGGAAACGGTGTTTTCAGTGTGTTTAGCTGCAGCAAGTGTCTTAAGAGGTGTCGAAGCAGCTCTTCATCACTGGTGGTCTGGTGTATCATTTATTGATTATAAGAGTGGTCTCTCTTTCAGATGAATGCAGTTAATGCAGCTGTTCTGACCTACACAGCCGTATCTCAGTTCCTGTGTGTGTGTGTGTGTGTGTGTGTGAGTGTGTGTGTGTGTGTGTGTGTGCGCGTGAGAGTGTGGGTGTGTGAGTGTGCGTGAGAGTGTGTGTGTGTGTGTGTTAGTGCGTGTGTGAGTGTGAGAGTGTGTGTGAGAGTGCGTGTGTGAGTGTGAGAGTGCGTGTGTGAGTGTGAGAGTGCGTGTGTGAGTGCGTGTGTGTGTGTGAGAGTGCGTGAGTGTGTGTGTGTGTGTGAGAGTGTGTGTGTGAGAGTGTGTGTGTGTGTGTGTGTGTGGGTGTGTGTGTGTGTGTGTGTGTGTGTGTGAGAGAGTGTGTGAGAGTGTGTGTGTGTACCTCACTGAGCTTGATCTGTCGTAGTTCCTCCTCAGCGGCCGTCAGTGGCAGAGGAGCTGATTGAGCCGTGATGTGCTTCTTATATCCGCTGAGAGAAACTTCATCCTGCCACAGACAGACACATGATTACACGGTGATGTTCTTAAAACCTTAGGTGTATGTGATATGTGTGTGTATACAGAGAGAGAGAGAGAGAGAGAGAGAGAGAGAGAGAGAGAGAGAGAGAGAGAGAGAGAGAGAGAGAGAGAGCAAAAAGACTCATGGCTGTATTAGATCAAAAGGGTGCTTCTACTAAATACTGAGCAAAGGGTCTGAATACTTAGGACCATGTGATATTTCAGTTTTTCTTTTTTGATAAATCTGCAAAAATGTCAACAATTCTGTGTTTTTCTGTCAATATGGGGTGCTGTGTGTACATTAATGAGGACAAAAAATTTACTTAAATGATTTTAGCAAATGGCTGCAATATAACAAAGAGTGAAAAATTTAAGGGGGTCTGAATACTTTCCATACCCACTGTATGTGTGTGTATACAGAGAGAGAGAGAAAGAGAGATTTGTTCAAAGTTCTAGGGTCAGTAATATTCATCATGGACGCATTAAATTGTTCAAAAGTGCCAGTAAAGACATTTATAGCGTTACAAAAGATTTCCATTTCAAATAAACGCTGTTCTTTTGAACTTTCTGATGCTGAAAATACAGCTTTGATCACAGAAATAAATTACAGTTTAACAGATATTCACACAGAAAACAGCTGTTTTACATTGTAATAATATATTAAATTTTTCAACAAACAAATGCAGCCTTAATAAGCAGAAGAGACTTCTCTCAAAAGCATTCAACCATGTTATGGACCGCACGCTTTTGACTGGTACTTTTAAACTAAATTGCTTTTTGATTTTAAGGAAGTCTTCAGTTCACATCGGCATTGAACAAAACGAACCTTGACGGTGCCGAACATCTCATCTTTAATGTGTCCGAGGCCGAACTCCTTCCTGAGCGTGGCTCTGGTGGCGGCGTACAGCATCTTGTGGCGCACCTGTCAGAAAGAGCGACGGCAGATCGTGAGTTTCACAAGAAAAGCAGCTCAAGCGCAAAACACACGAGAGCAGCACACAAACACACATGGCTATAATCAACTTAGAAAAGAGATTCAAGTGATCAAGAGTCAGTCTCAACCGTCAAATACGGGTTTTTCTCTCAAAAATGTTCACAATTTTTTGATGTTGATGTTTGATGTTCACAGTTTGTTTTGTAAACGCATAAAACAAGTGTGCCTCTGCTAAATGAATGAAAAGTAATGTAAAGGTAAAAAGAACAAAGTCAGACCCCTTTAAGTGACTAAAAATGTGTGGAAAAGAAACCATGTGTCTCTACACTCGCATTGTCTAACGTCCTAAGAGTGGGTTCAGATGTCATTGTGGTCAGACCAATATTTTACTTTTTGATGTTGATGTTTGATGTTCACAGTTTGTTTTGTAAGTCGCTTTTGGATACAAGCATCTGCTAAATGAATGAAAAGTAATGTAAAGGTAAAAAGAACAAAGTCAGACCCCTTTAAGTGACTAAAAATGTGTGGAAAAGAAACCATGTGTCTCTACACTCGCATTGTCTAACGTCCTAAGAGTGGGTTCAGATGTCATTGTGGTCAAAGACCAATATTTTACTAATTATTATTAATGATCAAATATTGTTATTAATTATACATATATCGATTTAGGTGTTAATTATTTATTTATCAATTATTTATTATAAATCATGAATACTAAAATATATTTTCTAAATAACATTTTACATATAATCTTACTTTATTAAATAAATATATATTATTTATTAATATTTATACATTTCTAATAATAATTATTATTATTAATAAAATAATGTTATTATTTATACATATTAATTTAGTTTGTAATAATTTAATAATTATTAGTTTATATTTATAAATCCTAAAATATTGTATAAGTAATATTTTTATATTATTGTAATACACACATATATATATTATTTGGTAAATATATTTAATTTCATAATATTTAAATTATCTCATATCATTATTAGTAATATTATTATTTATAAAATGATGCTATTAAGCAAGCATTTCCATTTTTAGTAATTATCAGCTATTTATTAATGATTATTTTTTATGTTATAAATCATAACATATATTTATAAATTATATTTTAGACATTATTTTATTTAATAATATCTATACATTAAATTATTTTCTTTCTTACAGTAATAATAATATATAAAAGTACTAAGAGAAGTCTAACAGAGCTGAAAGGATCAGTAACAGGGTAAGACAACACACACACACACAGACACACACACACACACACACACACACACACACACACACACACACACACACACACACCCACACACACAAACCCACAACATAATATATCAAAACATTATTTATGCATTCGTAACCTCAGGTTAAATGCATTCATGTCCTGCATTAAACGGTAGTGTGTAAACACATCTAAACGCCACTTCAGACGCAGCTTCTGCGAAGATTAATTGCTTGGTAACCCAAATGCCTTATTCTAATTCACTGATTAAATGTAAGAATTTGACGGTACAAAATGCCCATAAAAGGTCAAAATCAATTTAAACTTAAGGAAAAGTTTAATTTCTATCACTGATGTGAACCGAGCACCACACAGAATATGCAGAATATCAAAAACTCCGCACAATAACACACTCGGCAATCTATCGTTTAGTTATCGCTATCGAAAGATCCCCAGCAAACATTGAGATGTCATTTTTTGATCTAGAGGACGATCCTGACTGGTGTCTTACAGGTGAGTGGTCAGGTGACCAGGCGATGAAGATCCACTCGTGTCCCAGGCTGTTGGTGGAGTCCAGGCGGTACAGGACATAACAGGGCAGCTCTTTATCCAGCGCAGGAAGCACGAGAGCATCATAGTCTTCCTCCCAGCTGCGAGCGGCCGCTTTGGTGAAGCCTAAAACCAGCTCCTCTGAAACCACATCCACCCCGATCACTCATTCTGTGTGTCATGCACGTCTGGGCCCGCATTCACAAAACATTTCATCTCACCACTAAGAGTGCTCCTAGACACCAGCTAAGAGTTTTCTCTCGAAACCTATTCGCAAAGCTGCTGAGACAAACGTGTACTAAGCAACAGAGAGCTCAGAGTAAGGGGGCGGGGTTAACCTCGTTGCTATGGAGGATGTCAGCGTGCTTATTAACTATGCACACAGTGATTGGCTGATAGTCTCTGTCGGAGATTTATTCATAGAAATATTGTAGAGTGCGATATTATGTTGCCTAAGAGTCACTAATTAAACAAGTACGTGTTCGGCTAATCGTCAGCCTCTTGCATGTGAGCTTCTCGTAAACAATTAGTGATTATTAGTGCTGCCAAATGATATCAAAATGGTATCAAAAAGTAGCCTTCCCATTACGAGGTAATATTTGACTCCTCTAACTTTAAAAAAATTCTATTTTATAAGCTTTTTAAAAATTGTAATTAAAATGACAGAATAAGAGTAGAATAAGAAACAAGTTAAAAATCAAATGAAATCAGTATCAACAAAATAAATTTGTAGAGGTGGCACAGAAGAACGCAAAAGTGGCCTGGTGTACTTTCAGACATTTAATGAGGCTCAGAAGTGGAATGCGTGCAAGTACCGTATTGTCCCGAATAGAAGACCATGTTTTTTTCTTGGAAATACATCTGAAAAAACGTGGTCGTCTTGTATTCAGGGTTTGGCATGTCAATAATACACCCACAACAATAGGTGGCGCCAAATACGCATAAAACGAGTGTGCCATGAAATACGTAATGTAATGCGTGTTGTAAAGATCACGAGTAAAAACAAAAGAAAAAGAAAAGCTTACAGCTGCGTGAGTCGTGACTGTCACGTTAGCCTGATGCGACCAAACTCACTTACGTAGAACGTAAGACGGTACCCAGATTTGAAGACTACAGTAAGATTTAACTTCTACTGTTAATAAGATTGTGGTAGGCTACTATTAGATGGATAGCCTGAATGTCCTAATTCAGATGCGCTACCTGTTTTTTAATTTTTTTTATGGTATATCAAAAAGTGTATATTTTTTAAATGTGATTGTTGGTACAAGACCAGTTTATATTCTCCAGTTCTGCTGCGTTCAAGAAACAAACAGTGATCTGCAGGAGCTTTAAGATCTAGCTAGGGGTGTGCGATATATATCGTCATCGTTGTTTTAACCATGTGTGATTTGACATAATCGAGTATTTTGCAAAAAACACAAAAACAGTGCGAGCGTGTTCTTTCACTGCATGATTCAGTCTATTAAAATACATTGAGAAAACTCAAAAAATGTATACATTTATATAATTTCATATAGTTAATATCACACGAAGAGTGACGTTGTATGTGATATTGATTTTATGCAACAAGTTAATATTAAGAGACTTAAGTTTTAGACACTATATTGTCTGTTTTTGCGCCGAAAATAATTAATCGCCAACAGAAATAATTCCAAACCCAGCCACAGCGCTGTTTTGCGTCTCTGAGCAACGTGACGGTGATTCGTTCCTGAATGATTCACTCGTTTAAATGATTCGGTTCAATCGCAATGACTCACTTATTAACAGTGACTCGCTGCCACCTGCTGGCGGTTTTAATTTCACGTTTAAAGTTTATTTTAATTATTTAAATAATTTTGAATAACGGCATGCAACGTTTTATGTTTGTTTAATATATCAAAACATTATTTATGCATTCGTAACCTCAGGTTAAATGCATTCATGTCCTGCATTAAACGGTAGTGTGTAAACACATCTAAACGCCACTTCAGACGCAGCTTCTGCGAAGATTAATTGCTTGGTAACCCAAATGCCTTATTCTAATTCACTGATTAAATGTAAGAATTTGACGGTACAAAATGCCCATAAAAGGTCAAAATCAATTTAAACTTAAGGAAAAGTTTAATTTCTATCACTGATGTGAACCGAGCACCACACAGAATATGCAGAATATCAAAAACTCCGCACAATAACACACTCGGCAATCTATCGTTTAGTTATCGCTATCGAAAGATCCCCAGCAAACATTGAGATGTCATTTTTTGATCTAGAGGACGATCCTGACTGGTGTCTTACAGGTGAGTGGTCAGGTGACCAGGCGATGAAGATCCACTCGTGTCCCAGGCTGTTGGTGGAGTCCAGGCGGTACAGGACATAACAGGGCAGCTCTTTATCCAGCGCAGGAAGCACGAGAGCATCATAGTCTTCCTCCCAGCTGCGAGCGGCCGCTTTGGTGAAGCCTAAAACCAGCTCCTCTGAAACCACATCCACCCCGATCACTCATTCTGTGTGTCATGCACGTCTGGGCCCGCATTCACAAAACATTTCATCTCACCACTAAGAGTGCTCCTAGCCACCAGCTAAGAGTTTTCTCTCGAAACCTATTCGCAAAGCTGCTGAGACAAACGTGTACTAAGCAACAGAGAGCTCAGAGTAAGGGGGCGGGGTTAACCTCGTTGCTATGGAGGATGTCAGCGTGCTTATTAACTATGCACACAGTGATTGGCTGATAGTCTCTGTCGGAGATTTATTCATAGAAATATTGTAGAGTGCGATATTATGTTGCCTAAGAGTCACTAATTAAACAAGTACGTGTTCGGCTAATCGTCAGCCTCTTGCATGTGAGCTTCTCGTAAACAATTAGTGATTATTAGTGCTGCCAAATGATATCAAAATGGTATCAAAAAGTAGCCTTCCCATTACGAGGTAATATTTGACTCCTCTAACTTTAAAAAAATTCTATTTTATAAGCTTTTTAAAAATTGTAATTAAAATGACAGAATAAGAGTAGAATAAGAAACAAGTTAAAAATCAAATGAAATCAGTATCAACAAAATAAATTTGTAGAGGTGGCACAGAAGAACGCAAAAGTGGCCTGGTGTACTTTCAGACATTTAATGAGGCTCAGAAGTGGAATGCGTGCAAGTACCGTATTGTCCCGAATAGAAGACCATGTTTTTTTCTTGGAAATACATCTGAAAAAACGTGGTCGTCTTGTATTCAGGGTTTGGCATGTCAATAATACACCCACAACAATAGGTGGCGCCAAATACGCATAAAACAAGTGTGCCATGAAATACGTAACGTAATGCGTGTTGTAAAGATCACGAGTAAAAACAAAAGAAAAAGAAAAGCTTACAGCTGCGTGAGTCGTGACTGTCACGTTAGCCTGATGCGACCAAACTCACTTACGTAGAACGTAAGACGGTACCCAGATTTGAAGACTACAGTAAGATTTAACTTCTACTGTTAATAAGATTGTGGTAGGCTACTATTAGATGGATAGCCTGAATGTCCTAATTCAGATGCGCTACCTGTTTTTTAATTTTTTTTATGGTATATCAAAAAGTGCATATTTTTTAAATGTGATTGTTGGTACAGTTTACCAGTTTTTACCATACTTTCAAAACAAAAATTAAAATAGGAAAAATATACAATATGAAAATAATTGAAGACAAAATGTGTTTTACTGAGAAAAAACAAGATTTGGTTTTTAAAAAGCCTTTTTCCAAAAGGTACATCTGG